CTTCCTAGGCACATGCAATTCATGTCTCTCTATATATGTATCTTCACCTTATCCTATATAGGCGAGGTGGAAGGACTAAGTGAATGTGTATGTGTAATTGTGAAAATATGACTCATAGATGGTCGATCACCAAAATCTTAACTACTAAGTCCTCAATAGCACAACTCATGGTAACTCCGATCTTCAGGTCACGTATCTTTCTAAAATGATCAATCAACATATGTTTGACCAAATGTAGTGTCCTTTTACTAATCGCGGTACCCAACCCCTGTGGTGAATGAGTATCCTTTGTAGGTTTTTCCCAAAGATGGAGAATTGATCTCGATTGGAGTCTCTGGAGTGGGCTCAGCAAGTAAATAAACAATTAGTGGTACCTCTGGAGTAGGCTCAGTAATTGAATGAACAACTGGTAGTACATCTGGAGTAGGCTCAGTAGCTGAATGAACAACATGTGGTAACTTTGGAGCAATTGTGGTGGGGGTCGAGGTAGGAATTGCCAATGTAGATGCTGACTCAATCACAACTGCAACATGAGTAATAGGAAGCATAGAAGACACTGCTAAAATTGGTACCCATTTCTTTCTCGGCTCAACAAAAGGCACCTTGCTTTTACCCTTATTAAGCCTTATTTGTAGTGGTCACGACAGGAGAAGGGGGCTAAACAAAGGTATCGAGGGTTGCTCACCATCTGATGTTTAAGTTATCAAATGTAGAAATAATATATGTTTGAGGGTATACAGTAAACAATGTTAATCGTATTTGAATTATAAACTAGGGAATATAATTAATGTAGTCCTAAGAGGATTAGGACATTTTTAAGTTTTTATATGGCCGATGGGTGACATTGAGAAAAACATGAGCTTCAATAGTAGAATTTGATTAGGATTAGGTAAATATGGAGGTTTGGGTACAAGACCAGAGATTGAACTTACGAGGTGGTTATTTGTGAGGAATGACATCGGGTTGTCAAGGTTGCAACTAATGAGAATAGCTTGCTTTTAGCAAGCTCATCTTTTATGTTAAATTTACGAAATGCACAAGTTTGGGTAAAGGATACGGTGCTCCTTCCCGAGGATCAAACCCTATCTTTGAAGCAGTTCATGCCTACCAACTTGGAGACCTAGATATCACTTTGGGCGTCTCCAAGTCGGGATCCGTGATGGCAGATTTTGACGCTATCAATACAAAGTTAAAGTATTGTACAAGAAACTTGGTTGAAGAAAGAAGGCAAACTGAAAAGGGTGGAGAACCGTTCGACATAAAGAATGCACTCCTAAAAGAACATGTTTACATAGCAATGAAAATTCTATTAGTGAAAGTGAATTTTGTAAGTAAAAATATAGGGACAAAGAAATATCTCTCGTCCGATAATGTACAAAAAGAACAACAACAATTGATACACTATTGGTGAGTATGGCCACATTACTAGAACATCATCGTCGAAAATAACTAACGAAGTTTCAGTGATCACAACTTTTGATGATCATTGAGAGTATTGCTGTTGATAGTTCTATTGGAACAACCAACATATAATATGAGATAACTGTAAAAAGTTATGGTGTCATAAAAAATAGATTGTTCAACAAAAATTAAATCTCATATATGTGTCCCGACTATGTGATGAACAACATACACTAAAGGAAAAAAATAGGAAAATTATTGTGCAAAACACGAGTTGTGCACAAATTTTACAAGGTATATCGAGTTGGAGAAATAACCCCTCTTTGCCTTAGACCAAAATTTGCCATCAAAAGCTTCAAAAATAAAAAAATCATTTTGTCAAATTGAAAAATCACATTTTTTCAATTAGAAAAACATAACTCAAAACGTGTTATCATTTTATCAAAAATGCACAAAACACCAAATGCAACCAATAATGATCACAAGGAAAGTACATATACAATTCACACACAATAGTCAAACAAAAATTTTCTAAGGTCAAATTCAATTCTACTAGTTAAGAAACAAATTGATAACAAATACACAAGAAATTAAAGATAAATAATTAACAATTAATTTTTAGGTGCTGGTTACCCCTTTACAGTAATCTCAACCCTAATGTCATCCTACACGATGATTTATAATGTGAAAAGTAAATTGTTAACCTACGCGATAATCATAACTGCAATAATTTAAGGGAAAGAAAACGATATCGAGCGAACCACGTCCGAATGCCCGTAAATATTGAGAGATGTGAATTCACCGCTTTATGCATTGCTTGAAATAGAAAACTGACAGCATACTAGGGTCCATCTTGTCATCGTGAACATTCTATCTTTTCGAAGAGGCTCCAGATTCCATCCCACGAGCTACTGCTGGCCACCATAAATCTAACCACCACGTGCGCTTACGCCTACTGAAGTTGTCCGTGGTCTTGATTCATCCAAAGGATCTGTCATTTGGCCAAAATTTTTTTGACAAGTTTGATTTTCAAACCAGATAGTTCTTCTCTAGTTTTCTACCGATTTTCCAGCTTCATTCTCAGCCGATTTTTGCACAAAAGAATATAGATTTCTCAACACAGCATACTCTGATACCATTTTTTGTTAAAATCCAAAAAATTATATATATATTGATTTCGGGCTCAGAAAAACCATCCAAACGAACACCACCCGAAAAGCTAGATCCAAACCAAACGAACACTTTGGTTGCCACAAGAACTCACCCCTGTTATATATTTTGATTGAAAAGAACACAATTTTTGAAACTAGAGATGCAGAATTTTTTGAAAATAGATTCCCTTTTAAAGAAAAATATGCAAGACCAAGTAGTTCTCTTAGTGTTCCTCCTAATGTTAGAGAAGAGCCTATTGAATTAGAAGAAGCTGAAGTTAGGAGAAGCAAAAGACCTAGGACTGCTACTTCTTTTGGTCCTGACTTTCTAACATNCCCCCCCCCCCCTCTCTCTCTCACACACACATTCTCTTTCATAATATACCTCCATGAGAAGAAGAAACATAATATATGGATACATTAGGTTACTAAATGAGTCAAAGATATATCTCTCCAAATGGGCCAAGTTAATGGACCAACAATAATCCAAAGCCACACACTAATCAAACCACCAATCCAACCCAACTTGGGCACTCCAAAAGTGTCAGTCGTTTTCGGGGAGCCAAGTCAATGGTGTCGATAAATTATCCGACATTTATTTTAAATCATCGCTTAAAATTATTGAGTATCAAAATTCAACAGTATAGTTCTTAACCTGTATCTAATTTTACCTTTACACCAAATGCAAATATCTTGACTGATGTAATTACTTTAATTGATGAAGTTGGTGGTGATCCTTATTGCTATTCCTCAAGAGGGGAAAAAGTCCCCACAAATTAACTTTATATATATTTTTAATTGGTGCTTATGTTCAAGACATTAATTGAGGTGATTTAACTGGAACAAGTTAATTGTTCTAGTTTTAAGTAGAATAAATTGATTAAACTCAATATGGATTGTGTTACGCCTCGCCACCTAGGCTCAAGTCAAGAAGCTACATAGCAATACACGTGGAAAGAAAAGTCAGCAAAGAGTCAATTGGTCAAAATGAATGGTTGAAGCTATTGTGCCAAAATATTGCCTAAATGGCTGAAGCACATAAATTTGAAGCGCTTTCTGTTAAAAGAAGATGGCGAAGCTCTTCACACATAAGACCGATACAGAACTTCTTCCAACCGAAGCCTTAGTTCATCTGAAACTCCTGAATCTGAAGCTATCTCTTAAAAGATTAATAGACAATCTTTAGGAATGATTTATGTAACGTTTGTAATAAAAAATGTTAAGCGTGTCAGCCGGCTGACCCGTTGTCAATGTTTTTATTGTGTGATAGATAGTTGTGTGAAGTCTTAATTAAGGAGATGAGGCCACGTGGTTTTGATCTAACGGGCACCATGTCAGCAAAAACACTATAAGTATGAAGTTTTTGTAAATCAACCAGGAGGGAGGATCTTTTGGAAATCGAGAAAAAAGAAATGCGCCTTGTAAGCATCTTTTCCAACATATATACAAGAGGAAAAAATTCTCTTTATATCATCTTGCATGTTCCATATTTATTAAATTTGATCTTTAGCGGATAATCATGAGCATTCGATCGGTGATTGTTTTTAGTGCAGTCATCTTTGTTTCATCCGCTGGTACTTGAACACTTTTGTCTCACTTCGGGAAGCATCTCCCGCGTTCATGTTTTCTTTGCTTCCTTTAGGTACTCCGGACAAAACGCTTTGGAATTTGCTTGGGTTTGCATGAGTGGGCCCGACATCTATTGTTCACGTCAACGTCACATTTTTCGGGGTCAACAGATTGGATCCTTCGAGTGAATTCGTGAGTGGGTAATAACTATGTAACCACTGCTTACAAAAACACAATCTAAATAGTAGTGAAATTACCATCACGTTCTCTAATAAAGTTAGGATATATTTTAATTTATTAGAGAATGTCGTAGTGATCTCATTGTTATATAGATTGTTGTTTGTAAGCCTACGTATAAATAGCATTATTCGGGAAATTTGTATGAGTTAAGATTTGCTCTATGCAAATAGAATTATTCATGAATTAAGGTGTAGTAATTTGTGAATGGTACAACACCGAAAGGATAACGATTTAGAGATAGCGGATCCCAAGTCGATGGATGCACACAAGCAAGGACTCCTTATGTGAACACATCCCATCTTACCAAAGCAAGATTTTGGTGGTCCCTTTCTTGTTAGTTAAAGCAAAACATGTATATGTCTTGACATTTCATTATGACACATATTGACCCAGCTCTCTTTCATTATCCAACGCAAGAAAATTAAAGCAGAAGTAGTGAAAAGTGTAGAAAAACTAGTAATTTAAAGGTTGGACAAAGTCAAGCTGCCTCCCTCCCTGCCTCCCTCTTCCTATTTAAAACCATACAGTTCTACCCACTGATTTGTCTTATATTGGAAGCAAAAAGAATTCAAGTGTTTTCCTCTTCTGGGTTCAATTTCTCAGTCTGATTTTGACAAATTTTACCAAGTATTTTTAGCCATGGGAAGAGCACCTTGTTGTGACAAGACAAAAGTAAAGAGAGGACCCTGGTCCCCTGAAGAAGACACCACTCTCAAAAACTATGTTCAGAAATATGGCACTGGTGGCAATTGGATTGCTTTGCCACACAAAGCAGGTATGCACTTGTTCATATAGTCGACCTTAAATTTATTGAAAACGAGACTATTTTTTGATGAAATGTTTTATAGGTCTCAAGCGTTGCGGTAAAAGTTGTCGACTGAGATGGCTTAATTATCTTAGACCAGATATTAAGCATGGAGGCTTTACCGAGGAAGAAGATAATATAATCCTAACTCTTTATCATAATATAGGAAGCAGGTTAGATTACAAAACAAGTTTCAATTATTTATTTAACTTAGTACCTTTGAAATTTGTTTTATTTTATTTTCACCTTTTGTCTTCTTTAGATAATAACTAGTAAAAGATTTATTTTTTGTGCAAGTAGGTGGTCTATCATAGCTTCTCATCTTCCGGGGAGAACTGATAATGATGTGAAGAATTATTGGAACACCAAATTGAAGAAGAAGCTACTGGCAGAAGTAACAACTAGACCGACCACCACCACCACTGCGGCCGCCACTGCCACCACCACCACCAGCATCACTAACACCAGTTTCTCCCATGTACCCTCATCGGCATTGACAACAAAAATCGAGGCAAATCATTTTTGCAACTCAGTTAATAATACTATGTTGCCATATTATCCACTGGAGGCGAATTCCCATCAAAGTTTTATGCCAGAAATGCTGGGAATTTCTACCCAATTTCCTCTTCCAAGGCTAGTTGAAGTTCCTGAAAATGGCATTAATTCTTACTCTGGATTTCCTACTATTCCATTTTCTCAAGAAGTATCAAGCTTTTCACCTTCATTTTCTCTCAACAACAGTGGAATTAGTGCATCTTGGTCTGTCAATGGAGGTGGGGAAGACAACAATACATTTCTCGATGAATTTGACTATGGATTATCGTACGATCTACTAAATATTGGCTTCGATTTTCTTGAAGACAAAATCTCTGAATTCAATCCCAGTTTTACGAATTCTTCGGACTCGTTCGCTGGCTAACATTTTCGAGGATTTCTAGACAAAATGTTTGTGCAAGTAATGGAGAAATTAAGGAGAAAAACACTGCAAAATATTAATTTTTATATTAGGTTTTGTCTGGTGGTTGTAGTTGGAAATGTTCAACTTACATTGAAATTAATTAAGGATTAGAAGGTTTTATTAATTTCGGCTGCAATCAAATGTTGTATAGTTCAAAAGCACGTACCATTTAAATATTTATATTATGGGGAAAGTATGCATGATTCACTTGAGACAGGTTTTATTTTCACTGGTCAGCTGTCACGAAAGTTGCATGAAACTGACTAATTCAAAGACAAGAATAGGTCCCCATCTCCCACGCCACCCTGCTGACCGTATATAAACCATCTTCAATTAATCTGTTTACACACGGGTGGTTGACAACATTGTTGACAATGTCGCAGGTGCAAAAGAAAAATGTTGATTAAAAATATAAGTTGTTTTTCTATTGTCCAATAACAACATGCAACGTGGCATGTTGTCAATCAATATTATACACAAGCATGATTCACCCATCTTTTGAGGGATTCCTAGTGTGTGTGGGTTGTGGGAGCATGAGATCCCGCCATGGATTTGAAGGAGTCGAGACAAGGACAAAGCAGATGAAGATTAAGCTTCCGTTTGGCCCTCATTAAATTATGATTTATTTTTCTCTCCCTTCTCATTAACCAAACGTTCTCCAATAAAATAATATTACACACATATATCCAAAAAACTAATGTTAATCTTAATTATTTGATATACTAAAACATATGTAAAATAGGATGCAAAGGCACACTAAGGATTGGGATTATATATTTATATGCACCTCTTGCAATGTGAGCTAAGGATGACAATGAGACGAGGTAGGACAAGAGATTTTGTTCCAACTCTGTTTCGATAACTCGATTAATAAAAGAATTCTCGCCCCATTCCGAAGGGACCTTGCAGGATTGGGGTGAGTGAATTTTTTGGCCATCCCTCCGACAATAGTGTACTTCCAAAGCATTTAGCAACTTATTGTCAATAACATTAGTTTAGAAATTCATTCTGGCACATAGTTGACTTCGAAACCACTATGTAATTTAAAATATAAGATATTAAATAATTTAGAAGCATAGTTATCAAATCTAGCGCGCTCATTAATCCAACCCAAGTATCAAGTCGCCGATTCAATTAGTGGATGATTGTCGAGTCAAAATTCTGAATAAAAATAACTTTAGATATAAATATAATCGATAATATATAGGCTTAAATGTTAAGTGCCTTATAACTTGATTTTGTAGTTTAGTTTTAGATTTAATTTTGAAGATTTTTCATAATCATCATATAAAAACTTGTTAGGATTTTTTTATCAAAAATAAATAAAAAATTGAATCTAAAACATTCTATACGTGAGAGGGTGAATTAAACATAATTAAATATAAATAACTTCATTTTATTTCTCATAATTTAAGCTTAAAAGTACGTGAAGAGGGTCTAGGATAACATATAATTTAATAACAACATCCCATTTATTATTATTATTATTATTATTATTATTAGGTAGGAACTTGCAGCCGCTACCCTTGTCAGCGGAGCGGCGACCATCTTGAAGGGGCAGAGGTCCGACCATTGTGAGTGCGCACTACGTAAATCCCGCTCCATGTGCGGTAGCGCGCAAACCACACAGGAAAGGTAAATCGCACTAGGCAAGTCCGATACGGCAGACTCGACTGAGAAAGTGTTGGTAGGGAATTCAAACTCGTGACATTTAATATCCGTGTTCACCTACTTCACCAACTCGATCACCCCCGAATAGGTAACAACAGCTTGTGCCTTAAATAAGGTAGTTTAACAACGGAAACCTCAAATGCACAAATATTTTCTCCAAATGGATGATAAATAAATTTTTATCGTTTCAAATAGACAATTTAAAAAAAAATTGTGAAATAACGTGCAAACTACAAGGTGTTTTTTTGGCAGCTCTTTATTATTATTATTATTATTATTATTATTA